TCTTGGTGATGGGACACAATAACTAACTACATTGTATATTGACAAAATAAAAAAAAAATTAAGATCTTTAGAAATTTTGAAGCTTCGATGATGAGAATCCTAAAGAAGGGGAGGAAAGATAAGGTGCTGACAAAAAAAAATAAAATAAAATAAATAAAAAAAATAAAAACGTGTCTAGCAGACAGTTTTAAACACAGATTAGAGAAAATTAGATTGGGTGCAAATGTTTGGCCTCCCAAGTGAGAAGCCACAGGTACATCAATAGTACTCTCATGCTTAACAATAAAACCCACACTTTGATGGTGACAGAATTGGAGACGGGGGACAGTAATGGCAGCATCACCCTCCTGTTACTTATGGACCGTACCTTGGGACTGGATTTCTCCTGGAAGTCCAGTGACCCCAAGAACCCTGATCTTATGATGGGCAGCAGCAGAATGGCTGGATTGCTGTTAGCTCTCTGATGGGTGAGGGACTTGAAAAGGGCAAGGCCACTGGTGCTTCCAGGGAACAGCCATCCCTGATCTTCAGAGGTTGAATCTCTTGAGACTATCTGACCTCAGGTCATAGAAGAGCAAAGGGCTAATAAAAGTCATGCATGACAGGCCAGCCTGGGAGGTGGACTTGGATTCCTGTGTGAGCCTGGTGGAACCACCATCACCAAATGTGAAAATTACAGTTGTTGAACTAAGTAAAAGAATTTAAGTCTTTATTTCTAAATGGTTGCATGAGGAACCCAGTGAGCAATATTCCCCAAGGTAAATCAACCCAAAGTAAAACTCTTTTGGAAAAATAAAAAATCCCAACATTTATGATTACTATGAAACTTTATGGTATATATTTTAGATTTGAACAACAGTGATTTCTTTATTACTATATTTATGAAATAATTATCAAAGTCAGTTATTTTCCAGGGCTTCCTATTTTTCTCAGAAACACATCCTAGGTGTGTAAGGAAGTTGAACTCTTGCTCTATGGAATCATGCACTGAAGATGTCATTTATTTTAGTTTAAAAAGCAAAATGGAGGCAGCTCCTTCCAGTGACTAAAATAGTTTAACTTAAAGTTTAATTAACAAAAAAAAAAAAGCCACATTCCCATTTTCCAATTCACAAAGACAGGTTTTTCTTTAAAAATATGCCTGAAACATATTACAGATAATATCCCAAATGATTACTATGTAAACATTGTCATTACAATGAAATTAATATGATATCAGCTCCATTTCACATTGTAAACAGCAGGACTGTATGCAGAAGCCTATTTAGACTGTCCAGTGTTTGTGCAGGTTTTTAAATGAACCATACAAAATCTACATTGTTCTACCTTCTTGTCAAGAGGATCCATCTGTTTCCAATTATTGGCCTTTAACTGATGAAGTTCATCAAATTTCATACTAATATTTTCTATGGACAACTGCAGCATGTCCCAAAACCCCGCCAAATCCTGGGAAGTGGGCCTCGGATGAGCATTAGGATTCTGTACAAGAGAAAGAAAAACATTCCTGCTTTAGAGGCAATCCGTGACAACAAGCACAGGGCCAAAGAGGCATTTCACAATATTTTGAATACCATAAGGAGGATGAGTTCCTTTTGGATTTCAGATAGGAGATAAAAGTGAGGCTGCAAATGGTAATTTTATACACTCATCCATTTGAGTCCGTGATTCTCAAATGCCAAGGTTGTAAAACTCTTCTGTTGTGATACAACATCTATCAATATAGTCTAGGGGAAGGTCTAAACATTTGAAAAATCTCAGAATGTTTGATCTGCTACAGGAAACATTTTAAAACACTACATTTAAATGAAAATTTCATCTCTAAAACAAAATCCAGTATATTATTAGCGTCAGTATTCGACTCCATGCCACACAATTTCTTCATAAGACAGATAAGGAATCTAAAATAAGATTAGTTTTAATACTCATGTTGAGAGAAATACTAGGATAAAAAAATGAGTAGTAAAATAATTGGATTTTCAAAGTATTTTGTGTTTAATAATTAAGGTGTTAACTAATACAGGAAGTCATTTATCATATGACTGCTTTGACAAAACAATTTGAAATTAAGTAGTTTTAAATTGACCATAACATAATATAGTAAATGTGATCTACACATATATAGATCCATTTGCAATAATAATACTAGTATAATAGTGAACATTCTTAAGTGTTTAAGGATCAGCTTGCTTTGTCCCCATCCATATATCCCTGACAAAAGAAAGTATGATTTTATAAAGTAACGTTATGATCTAAGACAGAAAAAACACAGCTAAGCGACTGAAGGTGTCATGCTCATTGTTAATCATTATCTGCAACAGCAGCTAAAGGCACTCATGGTTAAAAGGGTAGGAGCCTCCATTTGTCAGGAGTTTCTAGCTGGTGTCAATTTGGTTACCTCTTGGTATTCCAGGCAACTGGACAGACTGTGAAACCTCATGCCATATAATAACAGGAAGCCAGTATGTATTTTCAAAACTAACCCCTAGTAAAAAATGAAATCATCAGAATTTCAGAAAGTGCAAGGTTGATGACTGTCAAAGTTAATAGGTTGGAAAGAACTTTGAAGTCCTTGGATGGACTAGTGTTATTGGTCTGGCTCAAAAATAGATACAAATAAAGATGTATTTTTAAATTTATAGTTCTAAAACTCTCCAGAGTTCTGAAATTCATTGGAAGAAATAAATTGTAAAGTTTCTAAGTGCTTGGTTCAGTATTAAAATCTATTCTAATGACACCTGAATTAACAAAGGTTTTTCTGTAGTATTTTGATTTAGTAAACTAAAAAAATAAAGTTCCTCAATATCTAGATATTCAAAATAGATAAGAGCTTTGACAAAGTGCATTTCTAATAGACTTTTATGATCTCACAATATATTTGGCCTTATTTTATTGGTAACTAGAAGCTAAACTTCATATTTTGGAGTTCAGTGAAGTCTTCTAGGTCACCAGCCTATTGGCTAAATTCTTTCAGTGCACCAGTGTATGAAATGATAGTTCAACAGGCCCAGAGTCAATGCTGTGCATCTATAGTGTTTTGTTTAATGTACTCAACTCTGTATCATGGCGATTTGTTCCCTCCTGGCATTGAATCTCTTTGCCCCCACATCATCAAGAAGATGAATGAGGAAACAGAGAAAGAGCTTAGGCTCTCAGCCAGTCTCCAAATCAGTGGGTCATGTGACATCCCGTGCATAAGGAGTGGCAGCTCATTCCTTAATCTAAACCAGGCCATCTTGGAGGTCAGAGCTGGGAGAGGGAGTGGAAGGACCAGGAGGGCTGGGTTTCTTGTTTGCTTATGTAGGACACAGCCAATTTTCGTTCATTCATTCTAACCCTGAGAATCTAATCTGGGATAATGTGTATCTTCAAAATAGAGAGCTATTATTTTTCTCCTCCTCAGTGTAGGAACTCAAGAAAGGAGGGCTGGATCTGGTTCTAACCAATCATAGTGCCACTTTAGGTAGCTGTAGACCTGAGCAGTGCCACCACCAGGCCACTGTGCTTCCTGCTGCAAGGGGCGTGGAGCTGACTCCCCTCCATGACGGTGAGGAGCGGAACTCAAATCCTGGATGAGATTGAAAGGCTTGAGGTCAAATAGACCGGGATCTGAATCTTGGTTCTGCCTTCTACCATGGGGCTCTAGCCAAGTTTCTTAGCCTTTCCATGCCCATTTTCCTCATCTGCAAAACTATCATAAAAATAATGACACTATCAACTACATATGGTCGTTTTGAGGGTTTAGCCAGATCGGAGATCTGAAGGCTCTTAGCATCATGTCTGGCACATAGTAGGCACTTGACCTTCCCTGCAGGGCCTGGTTTGTCCAGCATCAAGAGCCCTCTTCCCCCAGTGTGGCTCTGCTCAGTCTCCCTCTAACAGTGCTTCTCATATTTTACCCCCTAAGCTCCTCTAGTGGCCAAGAGATGTGAGCCCATCAAGAACTAGGAAACATTAAAAGCTGGTTTTAACAAAGTTAACATCTCCTCAAAGTCCAGACATTTTTCAAAAAATTTTGTTGGCAATTTCATCTTTAAAACCTGCACAGTGTGTACATCATAATGCACTTCATAATGTACTTGCTCATCGTGTGATTCTTTTAACGAGGGGTGCCGTGTTTCCCCTGTAGTGTGCCCACACTGACTTCTGCATGTGCCTATTGACTGGTTTGAGCAATGTGGCTTTCGATGAGCTTTCTTACATTCAAAGAACAAAGAATCGTGTTAATTAAGATCTGTGACACATTAGCTAGCTTGCATATTAGCAGGAATTCTGTACCTGGCACATAGCTGAAGCTCAATAAAATATTTGTTGAATTGAATTCACTTACCAATATATTTACTAATACACATTATCTCATCTAGGACAGATTTCTGAGAAGATGGAAAAAGGACCAGGTAATTTTTGCTGAGAGAAGGGAAAACAAACCATAGATGTGTGTGTGTGTGTGTGTGTGTGTGTGCGCGCGCGCGCGCTGGGGGGTGGAGGGGGATAAACCCCAAGGGAGGTTTCAAAAAGAAAAGCCTGGAGAAGAGGGATGGTGCGCGCTGGAGGGTGGAGGGGGATAAACCCCAAGGGAGGTTTCAAAAAGAAAAGCCTGGAGAAGAGGGATGGAAAGCACCAACTTCTGCATGCTCTATATTTTATCTCAGTTGAGCCCTGTGTAGACAAATCCCTTTCAGTCTATACTTGTCCTTGTTAACAAGAAGTAGTTAAAACTAAAATCATATTTTGGGTCATTTAGATTGCAAATAATAATGTTCTCACTTTCTACAAGATAAACATGTTGCTTTTCACTTTCTTTGCTATAGATCCAGGTTGACCAGCAATTGAGCAATAAAAACTATTCTTGTGGAATTAAACTTGTAGAGATAGTAGCAATTTTTAAAAAGAGATAGGCATATATAAGCAAGCTCCTGCCCTTTGATTTTGTGTTCAATTTTTAAACTGCTGATGTTGGTAGTAGCGCTTTTGTTTTTTTGTTTTGCTTTATTTTGTTTTTGTACATCCAAGAAGGATGCATTATTCATTTGTCTGGAGATCAAATTTATACTTTGTGATGCCCTCAACCTCTGGCCATTGTTAAAACAGAGAACTTTGGTCAGGAAATAGTCATTGACAGCTATTTTAGAAAGAAAATCACTATCCAAAATGATTTTTTTGTAATAATTATTGTTGAGATATCAGGCTGCTTCATATTTTGGTAAGAATAATGAAATCACAGATGTCATGTGAAAGCCAGGAAAATGAAACATTTTCAGTTCCAAAAAGCAGGAAAAGGAATTTTAACTTGATTGGATTTTTTCTTCTAGGATTATTAAGGTGTAAAATCAATATTTATAATTTTAAGAAAAGCAGGAAATGAGATAAATGAGAAAACGCTCTGTTCCAGGCGAGAGACTCCAATGGGCCTCGACTTGGTACAAAACCCGTTTTACTTTAGCTGGGCCAGTCTTCAGGACACGTTCTTCTAATGGTACTAGCAGGGAAACCGTGGTGAGGGCGAATGTTACCTACCAGGTTTTCTTCACACAGTTCTCTGAACTGGTAGAATTTCTGGGCCATGAGAAGTTGGGCACTGCCCACTGCTGTTCGGATTTTCCCTAGAACTGAAAAGAGCAAACATACAAGAAGTTTACACGATGCTTATTGCTGAGATTTCGTCTGGTAAAGCAAAGAGGAAGTCACGCTGCGGTAATCAGCTAAAGCGGTGCACGCCCGGCCACCCGCACAGCGCGTCACCTCCTGGTCTGCACGACACGGGCTCCTAGGCCGAGGTGTAAAACCAACGTGGAAAAACACATGCTTATCATGCACACTCCTATTTCTTGGGAGTAATGGAGTTTTCCATCACAGCCCTGGACGTTACCGAGAGAAGAGGCAAATAGTTGTGTTCGTTTTTGTTTTAGCTTTTTTACTGAAAGGAAACATTTCAAGGGTTTGTAAGTGTAGTTATGGATTTATGGAGGCAGCGATCATGGGCGGCTGGCCTGTTTTTCCAGTCTCAACCCAAACACGGGGAAAGCAGCCCTACCTCGGAGGGGGCGCCTCCCAGCATCACCGTATCCCTCCACATCCTGCGTGATTTCTCCGGGGCCCAGCCCCCGGGACTGTGAGGACAGGCGTGGCCGGTTGAAGGATTAGCTAAGCAGCGAGCGTGCTCAGCCTGCCGCCCGGGGACGCCAGCTTTTACACCCTGCAGTCCGACTTCTCACGACTGCAGTTTTCAGGCCCTAGGTACCGCGCAGGAAAGCGTGCCCGCCGCCAGCCACCCCTC